AACAATATCGTCATGGTTTTTTTTAAAGGTCGAATGTTAAAAAAAGTTTCGAGATAATGGCCCCTAAAGGTTAACATTGGCCCTTTTATGTAACCCATTTTCTTTTATATGTGATAAAGATACCAAGCAGGTGAGCATAAATATGTGACTTCAATGCGAATTTCAGAATTTGGCCACCAAATTTTTTAAAAGGCCTAGTCCCAAAACTTAAGGTCGAAATGCGATTTTACGTTGATTCTGAAAATTTCATGAGAAAATATCGAAACCCTATTGAGTTCTATTGCTTTGAACGAAATTAGTTTTGCAAATATCGCGAACTGAGATATGGGAAATTCTGTTCATTTTTGCGATTATTTGAACATAGAATCCACAGTTAGGTAGATACTAAGCTGATAATCGTAAAGAATGTGTAGTATAGGCTTACCTTCCATATAAAGTTGGTTTCATTCAAAAATATTGATATTTGATCAATTTATGGGCCAAAATCGATCAAATTTGGTGCGTATGCCCAAATATGGGCATATGGTTTTTGGCTCATAACTCATTTTTTGTCCAATCTTGATGAAAATTCATATACGAGTTCAGGGGACCACTAGCTACAAGTATGTTGGGCATGTTCAGGGTATTTGGCTAAATTGGGCCTAATTTGGACCAAATATGGGCGTGGCTGCCCCGCGCGCGGGCACCGTTTGGCGGTTGGGGTCTGGGACCCCTCAAAAGTTCGGTCACCGGTCCAAGCTTGTTGGTCAACTGCTATATCGAAACCAAGTTTCACAAAAAAATCTGGGTGAACCCCCCCCCCCCCCCCCCCCCCCCCCCCCCCCCTTAATTTTAAGTTTAATTTCAAAGAAGACAAATTTACCTGATGAGAAGATATAAAATGTTTCAATCAAAGTACGGAGGGAGGGAGCCATTGCCAAAGACATAGTTGACAATTCACCTAACTAAAGAACGAACATGTAAATTGTAAATTGAAACCAATGGTCACACGATGCTGGCTAACAATGTACCACCTCCCAACTATGATCTACTACAACTACAAGTCACGCGATGGGGCGATCGGGGATCATGTTCCCTGCGTCAGCTACTCATTTTCATATTATCCACACCTCCATTGCGCAACTGTATTTTCACTATCACATCACTATTCACAAAAAATTCAGGGTAAACCCCCCCCCCCATTAAGATAGGATGGCACGTGATGAGCTCTTTACCTTTACAGTTATAAATGACAAAGCCTGTATGCGTCTTGTATAATGAGTGGCTTTTTAATGTGGCTTATATAATGAGTGGCTTTTTAATGTTTGGCAGATCTTGGGTTTAAACAATAGCAGCGGCATTTCCAGTGTTCATAACGGTTTTAGGATTAACTTACGGTATCTTATGGGTGGGTTTTTATTATCTAGAGAAAAGCTGAACTCCCAAGCGGTAGACTGAACTAAAACTTAGTAGTAAGTTCGAACTTTGCCTAAATAATCGTGATTTTCAAACGATTTTTACAGAGAAATAGCACCGAACTTCGCAACCTGCTCAAAAATAGACAATTCAGTAAATTATCTGAGGAGGACTACATTATTGAGACTAGAAATTTTGTTTATAATATATTTCTTGAAAGATTTCCTAAAAGTAAGCTGTGACTTAATATCCATAATCCGTGCACATTTTTTATTTTAAAACCATTTCTTTATTTTTGATATGTTTTCCACGTGTCTTAATGCTTAAGGCCACTTTTTGCCACTTTTAACCACATTTCTTGTTTGTCGAATATTTTTAGTCAGACAATTATAGTTAATTGGATAATTATCAATTAGCTAATTAGCAAAAATTGTTTTATTGGCTCAAAATGATCGAAATAGCTTAAAACACGGAGAAAAGTAGTTTTCAGAAAAACTTTGAACATTTTTCACTGACGTTTTTTTTCGAGACTTTCGAAAATTTCGAAAATTCAAAAAAAACGTCTCGCCAAAAGTGATCAAATTGCATGAAACGTGGAGAAAAATGATTTTAAAATTAACTCCGTGAATTTTTCGTTTCCAGAATTAAATACTAAAATCACCAATATTTGTAGTTGGAGTTCAGTAAATGGCGGCAGATTTTAGTAATCAGAAATTACTCAGTGGAAAAGTTCACCACACGATATTAGAGTTTCATAACTCATAACTAAGGGGTCCGTAGGGGTCGTTCACATATTACGTAACCAGTCAAGGGGGGGGGGGGGGGGGGGGGGGTTCCAAATGATTACGCTAATGTAATTTTGACACAATAGCTGTGTATAAAACTGATTACGGAAGGGGGGGGGGGGGGGGGGGGGGGCAAGGACAAAAGGAAATCGCGGCACGTGCGGAATCGAGATTTTCTCCATTCTCGCGACAATTCGCGATTTTAAAAGTTCTCCTCGACATATAATCGCGCATTTTCCCTTAAAATTTTCGTATTTTCTTTTAAATCTGCGGGTCAAATATCACGTTCTCAATAAGTATAGGTATGGAACCAATCACGTCCACAGCCTTCCGAAATCTGAATGTAGGTACGGACTTCGAAAATCGAAAAAACATTTCGGCTAATAGTAATAATGATCAGGGTAGCATAAATAAATGAATCGTGAACAAAAGTAGTTTCTAGAAAAACTTTGAAAAAATGTTGACTTATAAAATGTTCGGTCCGAGTCATCCTCGATAGGTATGTACCTCTGAAGGCAGAGCTACCGCTTCCTGGCACTGCAAAGGGGAGGCCTGCCTTCCGAGATCGCATTACAATGGGAAAGCATCGACTCCAAAATCGTACAAACATCGAGGCGTATGTAATTGTACTAGGTACTGACTTCAGAAAACCGAAAAGAAAACATGTTAGGCGATCATAATGATCAGGGTAGTATGAACCATCACATGGCATGGAGTACGTTTAGACACTTGATATTATCATTTAAGAATGTGTAGTGTGTAGTAATAGTATGTGATTAAGGTGACTGGAGATTGTCGAGAATGTGTACTGTGTAGTGTGTGAGCGGCAATTCCAGAACATGTAAGACTATAATTGTCCCTCGATCCTAAAGTCTCTCCCGATCTTTTTGCTTTTGTCCTTGGGGAGGGAGGGGGGGGGGGGGTAAAAATTGTTCAAACAGTGATTACGTAATATGTGAATGACCCCTAATTGCAGTACAGCCTTATCGATTTTCACAGAAACTGCACCAAAGGCACAGTCAAGATCGAACCGATCGCCTGCAGCTGTACTACTACTATCATTTTATTGATTTCAACTATGAATCAGTGGTGTTAAGATAATCACATTGGTAATAAATAAAACCTCTCTGTACTGTCAATTGTGCTAATCTAAACCGGCCTACCTGGATTACCAGACCTCTTCTTTTTCTCAACAATCAAACCGAGTTGTGCAAGAAATGTGATTTATCGTAGTTCATATTGCATTTGGTGGGTGATGTAAGTACATATCGAGCTGTATTCAATCACAATACGACACAATACCTGTATATTATATGGCCCTTAATGCGGTATATGAAACGCTTTATACCGCGAGAGACCCGGCATAGAGAGGTTTTTTTAATTCGGTAAGAGTGCGGGGAAAAAATTCTAATTCAATGTCAAAGATGAAAGAATAAAAAATAGTTATGTGGAGATTTTAAAGAAATTTGCGCAAAATACGCACCAGCACTGTTATACGAAATTCGGTAAAAAACCAAAAATCGCCATAATATTGCATCTAATTATGTGATCTAGCTGTATAAATCAGGTCATGAATCCTGATCAGCGACTAAATACTAATAGCAGACTAGAGGCTCATTCTGCGTTCAACGCTGCGATTAGGAGAAAGATACTTGGTGAATAGCCTTATATCTTTAGCCTGCTAATGCACTGGATCAAGTAATCACTACCTAATATGGTCCTAATTAGAAGGATCAGATCTGAGCTTGGAAATATGGCAGGTTAGGTGTTTCACTCTAAGTACGTTACCTGGGCTGTAGTGCGACACGAACTCTATTGCGACAGAGGGTGGTCTTGCCACACTTCAGGTGTAGCACTATACAGTACGTTAACACTTTACCAGTCAAAGATGCAGACGGGTAGCTGAGCTAAATCACGAACACACACATTCACACAACAAGATGCACTCGCAAGGTATGGATTATAATGAACCATTAGAACAGAAAAAAAGGACAGAAATATGAATCGTGAGGTGTGATGAGCATTTCCAAACTGATTTAGGTATTTTTCACGAGACTGACTAATACTCATATATTGCACTTGTTTGATAGGATCCGTATTTTGATTAATGCCTAGAATATCATTCCATTTTAAATTTATAAAGTTGTTTTTGTTGTTGGTACAAAATCTTATCAAAAACACGTAAAAGCTAACACTTTATTTTCAGTGATATGTTTTGTGCGGAAGTACGTACGTAAAGTAAGTGTAAATTACCAGCAATTATTTGCACCGAACTTATGATAGATTGGGTATCTTGATAATGTCGACCCAAAAATGTTGTGCCATCATTGCAGTGTAAACTGTTTGTTTTGCCATTTTTTAGCATCCTAGGTATATTTGTTTAGTCGCGTAGTTGTTGAGTACTTGTATGTATTGTGTAGCTGTCAACCCTACTTTTGAGCATTTTGAACTAGTCACGTTTTCCTTGTAAAAATGAGGCTGAAATAGCAAATTCTTGATAAGTAATCGATAGATCAATGATTTGCACTATTATATAATTATATAAGTTGAATGACAGCAGAATTTTTATTTGTGAATAATGGATTGAATTAGACATATCTATATCTAGGTCACAGAATATTTGAAACCATGGCCACAATGGCTCTAACCTGATTATACACTACTTTAATCCGATTAGAACCGAATGAAGTTTGATACAGTAAAATATATTCGCGTTCATCCCAACAGTGTTTCTGAAACTGTTTTTTGCCCACTTAGGAATTTTGTCGTCGAAAATCGCAATCAGTCACAGCTCAGCATAATTTGTTTGCTAACAATGCCATTCAGGTATTTGAACTGCATGAGCAACCAAGAATCCTCTTCTGAAACCAAATCTCGTAGTCATACACTATCAACATTATCAACTCTAAAAGGTCTGACCAAATCTGGCGCCAAGCTCCAGAAGCATGCGAAAAAGCGGCTTGATATCGAGGTTCAACATACTCCTCCGGATGCAAAAATTCTTGCGAAATACCAGCAAAGTCAGTTGATCGATGTATCTTCCAGTGAATTTACTGACATAGGAACTGTTAGTATTGAGCAGCCTGGAAGATTTTGTTTAGAGGTTTCCCGAGGTACCAATACCAAGGGGAAAATGAAGCCTGTTCCCACTCCAAGGAGATTTGTTACACCTCCCAGCTCTTCATCTGTCCTGAAGGATGAAGATGCAGAAGAAGCAGATTCTGAGTCTGACTATAATCCCATTCCTCGTGCCTCATCCATGTCTCTGCAGATAAGTAAATCACCAACCTTCGTCCCAAAACACAGCAAGTCCATGTCTTTACCACGTAGACCACCTTTGACTTCATGTCCGAGTAGTCCTCCAAGTAGTATACCACAGGTATTTAAACCAGACATGGCATCAAGATTACACTCACAAACACTTCCCGCTCCTTTCCTAAGTCTCCTCCCCCTGAACTTCCACCTGGAAAGACTGAAGAACCAACAGATCCCCAAGCTTCTTTAATAAATCCTTCTTTTGATCTTATGATATCCCCTTTATTTGCCCCTTCCGGTGCATTTCAGAGTTCGATTTTAAAGCCTCAGCAAAAGACTTGCAGAGATGTAGATTCTCAACAGAAGACATGCAGAAATATAGATTTTCAAGCAAATCGAAATGAGAGTGCTGTTTCTCGCGATCGGACCGCTTTTATCACCCTTGATTCGAGCTTTCTTCTTAAGCCCCAAAGTCGTTCACAGTGTGAGTTTATAAAAGTGGAATTATTATTTCTCAATTAATTTTATTTATTTTCTGTTGTTGTTTTTGTTGTTTTCAGATTTGACCCCCGATGAAAACACTCGGGCCCTCAGTACTTTCTTGATCAGAAGGGACTGTCATTTGGTCGACATGCACATTTGAACTATTTTTTAGAAGTAATAGTGAGGTGGTGACAAACTGATGCATCCCATTCGACTTACTCGACAATTTGTGCAGTTCTAATTCGCACGAAAATGACCTGGGCGGGCTTAATTTTTATCATGTTTAAAATTTTGAACTTTGACGGTTCAAACTCTTCTACTTTAAATTTCGAATGCCAATTGCCAATTATTTCTATTCGTTCGTTTCTGTTCGTTTGTTTCTGTTTATATCATCCCAGATCATATTAAAGATTGGTACTTATACTAGTGAAATAGTTAGTGATATCCGTTAAATCAAAGAGCGTGCGTGATTTTAGGTATATCGCTGTACTAAAGTACTAACTATTTGGCATACGAGAACATACTTAGTCTGAGAGGCAAGCTGTAGGTGGTACTTAACAATAACACCACGATCTAGCTCTTACAGCTTTATACCTGCTTACGTCTCCAAGCGATATAGTTATTTTCTCAACAGCTACATTAGTACATTATAATGATCTACCATTTTATTGTAGAACATGTAAATCTGGGAGCTGGTTACGGAGCTTGGTCCTCATTATTAAAAGTTATGAAAGAAGTGAAGAATAGGAAGGTGGATAAAACAGAGACACCAAAAATCTCTCTTCCTAGGAGTCCGAAACCACCACCTCCAAAGTACAATCCTGAACCACCAAAGATTAAGTCTAAGGGTACAACTAGAAAAGGAAATGTTAACCTTCAACAAAAACGACTTGAAAGCAAATGCTGAAGAATTAATAAATAAGCAAGAAGAGTACGGCTTTAATGTTACGACAGAAAGTTCTTCAAAACCAAGCCCTCCGAAATACAAGCCTAAACCACCGAAGTCAAAATCTAAGTCTAATTTGTCATCTACAGATAAAGGAACAAAATCGAAAAGTAACGTCAAATCAAAATCCTCAAAAAGAAAAAAGAAAACTGTGGATGGTTCACCCACTGATGAATCTGACGCCAAATTCTATGAGGAAGCAGTCAGAGGCAGTGGTGCAACTGCAAATACTTTAATCGAATCTAAGAAAGAATTTGATCCAATTTACATTGATCCTGTAAGCTTTTCGCGTCTGGTGGAAAAGTCAGACACTAACGAAACTGCTACTGTAAAGATGTCAGACTCACGGGATGCTGACCTAACTAAGAATACAAACCAGCCTGCAAAACCCATCGTAACTATTCCTGAAGATACCAATTTTGGTACAAAATGGGGGTTCCTTCGTGTAGTTGCGAGGATGTCTAAAAGGTCAGCTAAACAACGGCCCCAGATCGATATACCGGATAACGTTCAGAAATCTGTGCAAGGTAAACCAGCTGCTGAGCCAATTCAGGATATTCAGAATTCCTTGGAGAAAATTCCCTCTGAAGACGTCAAAATGGATGAAACTAAAAGCCAGCAATCTCAACAACAAATCAGCAACCTACCAGCCAGTCAACCTAAGAAAAGTTCAAAACGTGTATTCGGAAGGTCCTCCAAATCTGTGGCTAGAACAAAAAGTTGTCCCTCAACTTCAGAGAATGGCTCAAAATCAACAAGTGACACCAAAAGACCTGTTTCGGAATTTATTGATAGAAAAGGTACCAATGAATACGAAATTGAATGCAAACATCCTCAGCACCAAATCAACGAGGTGCCTGATAGCACTATATCTAGTTCAACTGAAATAAAAGCTAAGAAATCTCAGAAGAAAATCTGGAGCTTCAGAAGGACTCCAAAGCCATTATCTGAGGTGAAAAAGTATTCCTTTGACCACAGGAAATTATGCGGTGTCGACGAGTGAAATATCTGGACATGTTTCAGATGTAATTCATGTCGATGATTGTAAGCTTGCTCCTGATAGCTCTCCAACAGGATCCAAACGCAGTTTCATTCTTTCGAATGAGTCGTTGGGAGGCTTTTCAAGAGGGAAAAGTAAGCTTACTGCTTCATTTAGGAGGGGGATTAATAAGATATCAGGAAAGAGGAGGTCACAAAATAAGGTAGTAGTATCCGGGAATATTAATGCTCCAGTACCAAGTCATTCAGTTTCACTGGATACCAAGAAATCCCAGGAGCCCACTGCAAATGTGGACCTCAGAATTCAAGAACAAGTCACTGTTTTAACAAAAAATGAAGTTGAGATTAATAAGGCCAATAAAAAGAAAGTACGGCCCGAGGTACCTAAAAGACCTCAAGGTGTTCTAAAACTAAAAGCAGCCAGTAATGCTGTAGCGGGAATTAAAGCGATGAAACAAAGGCCAAACGTTCCTCTAAGACCAGCGGGGACCACTCTTTGAAGTTGAAGTGCCGGAGAAAACACCAAAAGTAAAAAAATCAAGTAATAAATCATCAAAACGGAAGGAAGTTTCAAAAGGTGACCACAAAGAGAGCGCGATTGATTTCAGAGCAGCAACTAAAGTAGTAATGGCGGCAGAGAGGATCCGGCCAAACGTTCCTCCAAGACCCTTCAAGGAGGACAAGAAAACAGCATTCATCGAACCTGAAGGTACTAAGCCTGTTAATTTGAATTTAGTCGGGACAGTACCAAATGATGATAGATTTATATTTAGCCTTAAAGAAGGTACATCCGACGAAACAAGAAGGAACGCTGCAAAGATATCCAAGTTTTCGTGGTTCACAGCCAGATTAAGGGGGAATCAAAAAATAAGGAAAGCAGAACAAAGTGGTGAAACAACTATAGATGATGAATCAGACTCGCCAACTCTTCAAATAGAAACAGAATCTTTGCCTCCTCCGGCTGAACAGAAAGTCAATGTAACTACCGTTCTAAACAGCATAGAGATTGACGGTGGGGAAATTCCAGAAGGTTTTGGCACTGCCCTCCCCTGTACAAAGAACAAAAGTCCTGGCAGAGATGGCTCAAAAGAAAACGATACGAATACGATCCATTTATCCAAAAGTAAAATTCATCTTTCTGGGATGCCTAACTTGAGAAAAAGCAAAGAGCTAAAAGGAAATGGCACAAGAGATAGATCAGAAAATGATTTCAAACAACCAAAAATATCAGATTCATCAACAAAATCGAATGGATTAAAATTGGAAAATTCACTCTCTAAGGACGACCCTGATTATGATGACAACCCAGCCAATGAAAGAGCCAAAGAAAGCAAGCCCATGAGAGTTCCCTCAATTCATATCACCCCTACGTCGAAGAGAAAAAAGAAGAGTAGGGTTAGTATGGAATTGCACGGTGAAAGAGGGAAATTGTATCTCTCATCTCAACCTAAAGGTAGAAGCTGCAACACTGCGGATAGCATCTTTGTTAGCTAGGGAGCATGTTTGTTTTGAAATGGCCGGGAAGAATCTTTTTGGGCCGTGAAGCAATATACATACGATTTGAGAGCACCTTTTAAAGCCGTAGTTGTTTGTATGATATAAGAGGGATGGTTTTTGATGTGAAGCATTTTTGATGAACATTCTTGTGGAGTTTATGTTTGACAATTCTAGCTTCACTGAAAAAAATAGTTCATATATAGTTCAAACAGCATCAAGTTAATTTAAATTCTTGCAGCTGTAAAATCGTGTTGTTCATCTACATTTGCTTTGCTATCATGACAAAACATTTCTATAAAGGTAAATCCACAAGAAAGATTTATACGCATATTTATTTTTGCTCAGTTTTGATATTTTGCAGGTGAGTCAGACTCAGATAGATCCCGTAAGTCTCCTTCTCCAAGTCCGGTGTCGAAAAGAAAAAGGAACGAAGCTCGAAGGGCTGCTCTCAAACGAGAAGCAGGTCAGTTATTACTTGTTCAGTTGTAACGGTCATTGAAATTGACAGCGCTAGAGCCATAGCAAGGACCCCTAATCAGCAAACTATTGAAGGATTACAGCCCTTCATTAATTTCACGAGGAATTAGCATTCTAAAGGATCCAGTGCCTGAATTACTGTTAGTTTCGAAGGGGAATTTTACAATTCTACTTATTTGCACCTGTCAGTCATATGTGTAATTAAATCAGGGGTGTAGGAAGAGGGGGGTAGGGGGGGGGGGGGGGGGGGGGGGGGGGGGGGGAAAGGGGCGAAAAGGGGCCAACTTTTTCAAGTAAATTAGCAGGATACAATCCAGCTGTGAGCTGGCATGAACCAAAATCTGATAATTTATATTATGCATATTCTGATATTTAACGGGTGGCTGATTTTGATAAAAAAAAATCGTTATCCGGCGTGATCAATTATTTTAATTAAAGTACAACGGCTGCACCCCTGATTTTTTAACTTAATAAGAGACGTATTCATCAGAAGTTCAGAAGCCTAGCGAGTATAAAAATCAGATAACATTACTCTTTTATGCCGTGGGAGTAAATTAGCAGGACACAGTTTGCCCCTTGTAGTCCAAATTTACATGACCTCATTGCTAGAATTCATTCCTTAAAACAGATTCTCCAAGAATTGTTCCAGTTTCTCCCTCCTTGCATGTTGTACCCTCTTTGAGAGTGAGACCTTTTACTGTAAGAATATTTTTCAAAATTTGCAGGACTTTTCCTTTGACCCTTAATAATTAAATTGGCACAACAAAATCTTTCTGGATTTATCATTTCACATCGCCAGATTTCAATTCTGGAAGCAAATTTCCTGGAATTCTATTCGAGAAAATGCAATATGCATCCCTTTTTCAAGGTACACTTATTTCGCAAGAGCTGATTGCAGGCCCTAATATTCAACTGTGTTTGAAAATGATCTCTATTGCCAAATTTCTCAGGTAGGCATATTACACGTGTTGCTGTTTTTGAAATTCAGGCTGTGGCCAAAGCGCGTGCTAAATTAAAATGCTCTAAGATTTTGGCCCCCTCATGAAGAGAATCATTCCTACACCCCTAAATCTAATTTCATTTACAAGATATGTTAAGATCACCCTGCAGATTAGACGTCACGAATCACACTTAACTTAAAATTTGTAGTTCCTGTAAGTCATAATTGTAATAAAATCTCATTTACTATTATCAAGAAAGGTTAATAATCACACTTCAAATTAGAATAACGATGTAACGAATATTTGGCTTATAATTCCTTAGATTAGGATTTCACTCGCTGATATTAGTGCTTTAGTGCCACTTGTGATCTGACTGTACAATGTACATGTAAGCATGTAATATGTTTTGAAATTGGATACTTCTCAGTGTTCCTGTGGTTATGACATTCTTGTAACATCATTAAGCTTTGATAATCTATTGAGTTGTGGGTTTGATGAGGGCCTCTGTCAATTCTATACTCGAGTACAGTGTTCTATATAGTGAGTATGTACTTTGTAATAGTAAAACTTGAGTTTGCTGAGGTGATCCAATCTTTAAAAAGCATTTTTTTGTTTTCATTGAATTTCATGGGTTTGTTTTGCATCAGCTTTTGCATTTAAGTTAAAAATGACGTAGTACTAATGGTATACTATTTTCACCTATGTTGCCATGGGGATTGGGGTGGCAAGTCCCCATACATCGTGGTCCGGTAGTTTCATTGCGTCCTAATATAGTAATATAGACGTAATTATCTACACATTACTGATCACAGATCATTGCCAGTCGCAACTCTCAATAGGAAGGAGAATGCTTGGTAAACTGTACTGATACAGTGCTAACAATATGTATTTTATTTTTGTTGCTACCTATTGTCTTAGTTAAACAGCTACAATTTGGCTTTAGCAAATTGTGAACGATATCTAACCGTCACCAAGTTAACATTGTCTGTATGGCCAAAAACTTGCTTTGTAACAGATGTAACTGTTAGGGGAAGTAAATTGAGTTTCTCATTTTTATTTGAATTTATTATATAAGCCACTCAATTTTTTCATAAAATTGGTCCTAACTTTTAAATTTGACAGTAAACAAGTGCTGTTAGATGCATGATCTAGAGAATTTACCCCACACGAACTCGTTAATTGCACATGGAGTTGTTTGGTAAAAAGCGCAAGAAAAAGATTAAAAAAGACAGTTCGTCAAATGAAGGAGGAAATCTATCGCCTACACAAAAGCTTCGTTTCAATAACAAAGGACAAACTATTGTTCGACCAGCGACGGACGAAAGCCCCACCAACTTATATGAGCCAGAACGTCCACCTGTTTCTCAAAATTCTCCGCCATCCTCGCTCCGCTTTGAACATAAATCAGGTGCAACTATTAGATTTAGAGATAATTCGAACAAGCAACTGGACAGCAAGGATAAGCGGAAAAAGGTAGCGAAACGAAGATCTCAACTTGGGACAACAAAATCTTTGACAAGAACAGCCAATGCCATGATGGGGACGGAGGGAAATGGATATGGAATGGAACCGTTAATTATTAATATAGGTTCGTGCGATAGGGTGTGTAAACTTTCAATTTATCAACATGTGGGGCTCAATCAAATTTAACACGGTGGTTTAACTATTTTCCTTGCAAGAGATTGCAGTGTTGTATTCAGAAGTTATGTTTGAAGGATCAGCCATCTGTAAGGAAAAGGCAGTTCAGCAGCATTGAATCCGTTTCTAAGTTTATTTGCCATTTAATTAGTGAATTCTAATTGTGTTTTACTATTTGAATATTCTTGAAACATCAAGTTAGGCTTAAAACTTAAGTTATTTGATGGTTCTTTATCCAATTAGACAAATAATCAACCTGATTATTTTTTGGAAACTGTCCTTGTTTACAGAATAAAAAAGTTTCTCGAATGTTCAAATCTGCACTGAGTTGCTCCTCGCTAAATATCTAAATTCATCCTGTCATACTAATTCCCCTATCAGCGATCTATCCCATATTGAAAAATTATGGCCTGTAGAGTGTAGACTACAACGATGACAAATTACAGGTATATTTTAAAATTTTTTATTAAATTGGCAATAAACCGTTCGATTTCGAAAAATATTATTCCATTTATTTTCAGATCCTAACCACTTGAAGCCGCAATCGTTCAAAGTTGGATATCTCTATAAAAGGGAAGGAAATGGTGAGAAAATAAGTTCTCCATATTTTGTCAGCACATTTCAGATAAATTATCTTTCCTCATTCCTCAACCTCACACAACCTTTTATATCAACATTATTAGTCCAAATTGTACTTTGCCATCATAAATGATCACTAGCTTTCTTAAAATTTATAACATCCATCGTGACAAGTGCTGGTTAATTAACATGATTTAACATTACCAGATTACAAAACTAAGCGCCACTTTCGACTGAGCACGGAGGGTGGTCTGAGGATCTATAAAAACGAACAAGACAAAGCGACCTCCCCAATTGGCGACATTTGTCTCGACTTTATGAGGTGAATTTTAAAAATGGATTCACGTTGCTACTTTCATAAAACTGTTTGAAAACACGGTAAAGCATATTCATAAAGATTCAGGTGAAAAGAAAAATTTAAAAAAAGATTCAGGTGAATTTGCAAACGATTTCAAAAATTCTCACATTCAAATTGCCGCTTTCATAAAAGTTTAACTGTTTTTGGTTAAGGAGATTCTATTCATCAACTAAGCGCCAATTTGTAATTTAGATACTGGTAATTAAATTATGGCTGATTAAAAATAAAACCCAAATCCAGATGTGAGCTGCAAGCAGGTGTTCCAGACATCACAAACAAAGATCCCCGATACTTTTTCTGTTTGAAAAGTGACGACCTCTCCGCAAAAGCTTGGTTTTTAGCAGCTGAGTCGGAGTATGAACGGAAAAAGTGGATGGTTTCCCTAGGCTGGCACATTGATAACCACTGCAAACCATCAGTGACGTAAGTGCATTATCCTGAAAAGGTTTTGAGTTTTATAGTCGGATTATTATGACGATTGTGAGATGCATGGTTGTTATTGCCTCGCTGACATCCATGTTTCAGTGATGTGAATGTACAAACGAAAGAATACCTTGGCTACCAAAATTCAGACGAACAAGAAAACGAATGCAACACATCGTCATCTAACTCAGATTATGACTCTGATTCGGATGATGTTTACCAACCCGGTATCCAAAGATCACTGAGACTAGTACCCCAAATAGCAGAACCTGACGATGACATATACGGAGAATTTGATCCCGGTTTAACGATATCTCAATATGAGATGGTAAGAAATCAGATTCGCTTTAAGTCTCTAAAATCTCAAGTATATAATATAAGAGAAAAGTGGATACCTTCAATCGTCAAGGATCGTTCCGAATGCCTGGAAAATACCTGAAATTATCCCATTAACCTTATACTCTTTATTAATCTGTATATTAATATCACTACACTTTTATGTCAGGCCGAAACAGCCTCCGCCATGAAGGTGATGTCACTACATGAACCAAGGAGAGGCTCGCTCGACAGAAAAGCCAGCACAACCCACAACATCATCCCTGATCTTGAAAGCAGAAAATCAGTAAACCCTATCATCACTGAAGAGGAAGAGGATGACACTTACATGGCAGCAGGTGATGTAGGTGGATCCTCCACACTCTCAGTTCAGATGTCTTTGGGAGGTGAACCAATAATGTTTCCACCACAAGCTGCAGATGATGACGATACATACATGGATGGGTTCTCATTGAAGATGTCCAGTAGTGCTCCTCTGGAAGCTCCTGCTCTGCCAGCGAGCAGACCTCCTTCTTTTCTTGAATCAGATAAACACTATCTCCCTCCGATGGGTTCTCATTCCGTGTCAGTAGATAGAGGAGAATCTGCATCCACGATGCCTCTTTACCACAACCTACGAATAGATGAAGTGTTCAGTGATGAGGAAAACCTTTACATTGATCACGACGAATTTGCGTCCTGTACAATCAAGGATGATGATATCTATGCTGCACCTCCAACGCTCAGAGTAGATGTGCAACAAAACTTTGTCCCACCTTTTCCACTGAGAGTCCCCCAAAATGTGGCTCTAGCTCCCTTACCACCCCGAAATTTACCGCCCAGGCGACCTTCTTAGCGGAGACTTGATCATGTGATCAGATTCAAATCAGCTATATTACAACGACGATTGCGGCTATTTATTGGTAAGCTCTTGGTAATGGCATTTTGCTAGAAAATCGTTGTTGAGGGTTTATCAGACCGACAAGGTGTTTCATTACCGAAATCAAGATATGATCATCCATATAAATTTGATCTGGCAGAGATCATGGTTGCATAGTATAAGTTATGATATACATTTTAATTACCATGGCTAGGGTCGCAATTGAAAAACTTTAATGTTTAAGAGCTATTAGAATGATCTAAAGTTGTTATATTGCTAAGTCATCAAAGTAGTAGAACGCTCGTATTAGGCTGATAATGAATTTTGACTGTTTAATTTTTGAGGTTTGATTTCTTGTTCTATTTGCTTCAAATTAAAACAACTCAAATAGGTGCTACAACAATTTGTGTAAAATCCGTTATTTAAATTTCTGCTAAAAATGGGGCAGCACTGCATTGGCAGTGCGTTTATTATACTTATAGTGTGTATGCTATCAGTTACCATAGTGCTGGTGAAATATTCACACTCACCAGCAAGGTTATTTCAATCCAAAGTATCCCAACTAAGTGTTTAAAATGATTTTTTAAAATGTACTCTAAAATTGTTAATAATCTTGGGATAAGAACTTGTCGTGAACTAAATAAATATGCATCGTGGGGAATAAGTCAGCGTGAAAACGTTTGGGCTAATAATGGTGGCTCAGGCCCGCCATCGTTTAAAAATTGATTCCAAAAAAACTGATGTCAAATCATTTTCAATTTCAATATCGAATTTGAATTTCATGGATCAAACCCGCCATCGGTTTAGTTTTACGTGTCTTAAGGCCACATTTTGCCACTTTTACCACTTTTTACCACCTTTCTTGTTTGTCGAATATCTTTAGTTTTGAACATCGTAAAAGCTTGCAGATTAATCGAGGGTGTTCATCTTATCAGGAGGAAAAACTTTTGTAAGACAATTTTTACGTCAGACTATCAGTTAATTGGATAATTATCAATTAGCTAATAAGCAAAATTTTTATTGGCTCAAAATGATCGGAATAGTTTAAAACACGGAGAAAAGTAGTTTTTAGAAAAAAACTTTGAAGATTTTTCACTTACATTTTTTTGAGACTGAAAATTCAAAATATTATTTTTCGCCAAAAGTGACCAAATTGCATGAAACGCGGAGAAAAATGCTTTTAAAAAAACTTGGTGAATTTTTCGTTTCAGGAATACTTAAATCTCCAATATTTTAATAAGATTTTAATTCTCCTGTTTGCCACTCGGTTCCGGTTTGAAAAAAGGAAGATTGATTGATATCTGACCGATTCCAGTCCTGCAGCCAAATCCCTAGATAGGTACTCGGTTCTTGAGTTCCTATAGTTGTATGTGATTATATCAAATGTGGTCAATATACAGCTATAAGCGTACGCTATAATATAGATCTATAAAACGAAGTACAGGTTGTATGAGTTCCATCCCAGCAACTCATACAATAGCTAGTAGTAGTACAAGCTAAACATAAAGACAAGGTGTCGTTCTCTTGTGCATATAGTGCCGTTCTCCATGCGGTTCGGCTTTGTATTAGAGATTCCTTAAGGCACGCTGACCGAGAATAGTGTAACTGTAATGCACACTAGGTGTACCTAGCTGCTCGACTTAGTGGTAGGTTTTACAAATAAAGACTTTAAATAAAGAGTTTCGTGGAAGAAAGATGAAATACTCGTGAATCTAAAACTTGTGAGGAATGGTCATGTGACATGAAAGTGGAATGAGTTTAGGAAGGAGTAAGCAGACTAATGGTGACAAACTCTTTCAACAAGGTGAACTAAAGCGGAAGATTATAAATGGGATGGTGTGTCACGTGATAAATTAAATAGGCCTGATAGGATCGCTAATTAATTGAGTGAAGCTTACTGGTTGAAGTGAAATGCGTCTACAGAACTTAATGACAGGTATGAAACTAACTGCTGGGAAATGAGAACTTATATGATTTGAGGTGCTGAAACTGTGGAATCTTAACGGTACAATTTGAGGTGAAGATGACTCATGATAATTTACAACAAACAAAATATAAACTATATAAATACTACTGAGCAATTACTTCATTAGGATAAGAACGTGATTACATAAAGATTAAAGTTATTCTAAATTTCAATCTAATCCTATTCTTAAATAATAATATGTACCTAAACTAAAATATGCCTATCGCACAATAGACGACTTCAAGTCTCCGTCGTACTCCGTTTTATCGATCCGCATCCACCTGGATATACAGGGTGAGTTGAAAATAGTGTGTAGAATGTAAAAATCGATAATTTTGTTTATGAAGGAGTAAATTTTGAAATGTGAATTGCTATCAGTTCATAAACGTTACAAATTTCATTCTTGCCTCTCATTTGATTCTAACTCATAATTTGGTTGATTTTTGGCAGTTTTCCAAAATTTCGTAAATTGGTCCTAATGGGGTTCTCAACTCGTGTGCCCTGAAAATCGAGTCTAAAAATCTATCTTCTTCTACATTTTTTGAGCAATCACCCTGAAGGCTGAAACGTTCAGAATATGTTCTAGGGATCATTTAGAAGAGATGAGCAAGACAGAATTTTGAGATAGGCCTTTAAAAATGTTTTATTCGACTTTGAAAGTTAGCCTCAACTTAACTTATAATCCTCCAGAGGGTATAGGATACCGACATTATTAAGCCTTAATATAGCCCTAATTATAAACGACAGATAAGCTTTGACTAACAATTATTTGGATAAATTTTGGATTTGTGAACTATAACAGTAGTACTAGACTACGCTGTTTCATGATAATAGCATCACTGACGATCCCCTGTCTGTAAAGTAAAAAATATGTTACATACATAATATGCTTATTTTGAAGTTCAAACCTAACATTAACAAGGGATATGAGTTAGAAACCATTAAACGTTTATTAGTAACAAGTACATAATAAACAGGGTGTAACATATTTTATACTTTACAGACAGGGGATCGTCTACACATGTAGTGATATTCAGTGATATTTATAGGTTTTGTTTACTTTCTGAGTACAGGGACCACATCTCACACACGCACACTTCCGCCTCGCATTCAACACACTAACCCTTAACATCAATCAAACCATATTAGGCTCCCACGTTTCGCACTTCTCATTGGTCAGTTCCATTCCCACCATTTTCACTCCACACTAGATACATACCTACACAGTACACACTTCACGTCATGCACCTGTTCACTGTTGTAGCACTCCATGCCTCTGTATCATGTGTAGTATATTTAGTAGTAGTTTTAGGAATGTACAGTATTTACTATAAAAGTTTGTCGTCGTATAAACTAATTTTGTTATGAATTTTGTTATGACTTTTTTGTATCGAATTTTTGGATAAAGTTGATTGATTAAAAATAAATTAATGTACACAAATTTTGCCTCAGATATATGTTTTTACGTTTTGAATTTTTTTCCCTACTCTTGCCGAAGGCAAAAAGATCGTAGGGAATAAGTAATCGGGTTTGGATATATGAGGTGGCCCGATGAACCTACGGTGTCGACAAAAGTCTGCTCCTTCGCAATATAGACCACTCCCCTATAATTAAGTGTATAGGAAGCATATGTTATGCTGCGCGCGACGATAGCCATGTGTTAATTAATTACAGTGAAATTCCTCCTTCGCAAAGTTATTTTCCGCAATTTTCTGGATTTATTAAATGTTTATGCGCGGCGCTGCATTGGTGAAATAAATCTTCAATTTTTACCATGCACAAATCCTTCTCATTTATAAAAAAGCATTGCATAGGAGTTATGTGCCTCGCCGGGCTAAAGTAGTGGATGACCTTGCTGTACGGCAAGTTAAACAAGGATCTGAAACTACTAGGTTCCGCACAGACTCAACTCTGCACCCGTGTCAATATGTTCATTATATGCAAGCCTCTTGATTTATAATCACCGAGTCTAGTAATTGTTTAAGAGAGTTCTCTGGCAGTTACGAAACTCGAGAGACTGTGGGATACTGAAGGGAAAGGAAGCAGTTCTAACGAGCTCTTCTCAAACACAAGGATATATCTTGTAAACCTGGCTAGTATATATGAAACATTTGATATGGAGTTGTAGAGGGAGTTATGTGCCTCGCCGGGCTAAAGTAGTGGATGACCTTGCTGTACGGCAAGTTAAACAAGGATCTGAAACTACTAGGTTCCGTACAGACTCAACTCTGCACCCGTGTCAATATGTTCATTATATGCAAGCCTCTTGATTTATAGTATGTAAATATGTTGCACTTTTTTCCAGTCCTAGTCACATTTTTCACTCAAAAGAATTGATGGTACAAGTACATCGTAGGGAAAATTGATCGTGCGTGGTTTAACCGCGGCGAAATTCTTGTTAACACTTGTTTTTGGATCATGAATACGATGTAGTTACATTGAAACGTCGAGTAAACTCCTTTCCCTAATAAGAGTATTTTCACTTGTCGCAACAACCGGGATAAAGATAATTTTACACAGATACACTACCGTCTACCATAATAGCATTATAATGTATTTGGCATGGATTGATAATTTTATAACAAATCCTGCCAAGTTAATAGAAAGCCTGCCAAATAACAAATACCTGCGCTGTTGATGCAGGATCACTAGTTAATGAGGCAGGTTTTGCCATAAAAAATTAAGAGAAAACCTAGCCTGCGGATTTAGTGTAATATACTGCTGATCTGCACTGGGTAAATTAGATTACTAGGCAGGAGTGGTAATTTCGCAGATTTCGCTATTAACTGGGCAGGTTTTAGGTTAAATTCGCAGTGGCAATGGCTGGAAGGGGCCTTATTATATAACGTGTAGCAAATCATTTATAATGTGCCCCGATTTATTCAAGGGTATATCATGCTTCTATAATATTGCTTCATAATTGTTTTTCTGAATTACAAATTAGCCGTTGATTTGATAACGCGAATGTTTTTTGTACCGAAACGATAATTTTCAGAGAATTTGTTATTCCGAAGCCAAATTATACTCCATATTCTTTTTAAAACTCAATTTAGAGAACCTTATACAAAGATCACATCAAAACGTTATATATTATCTATTGGTGAAAGCTGAATATGAAATTGAACAAAATTATATAATTTGAATTATGAAATATTACCAGAAATCTCTGAAATTCATAATCACATATCATGTCCATGACACAATTAACTTAATATTAAATGCTGCAGTCACGTTATTCTATAGCTTATTTAACCAGTTCTAGATAATTCGTGCAGTTCTACATTCAAGATTATCTAATACATTTGGGAGCTAGCTTATATGACGTAAATTTGTGTAAAAATCTAAATAAAAATGTGAACGTGTCTGAGTCTACCTCATACTTTGATCTTGAATGTATGAATTTAACGAATATCATATTACTAATATGTAATAGAATACAATACATTTATGTATTTGGTCATGCTTAAAATAAAACGTAGTAGGTTAAAAAATACTGTTAGTCAGTAGTCATTACACGTTTCAATGCATCAACCTTAAGCAGGCATACACAAAAACAGGGGTTTGTGTCGACCAACTAAAATTGCACCGATGCCAACCCAAACAATTTGATTTCGAGAACACTCATTTCTGTAATCGACCATTTCCTAGTCAAAGTGCAAATGTCAAAACATAGGAATGTGCTAGAGACTTTTGGAAGGGTGCAAAATAACTGCAAATTTTTTGGGTTGGAATTGGTGCGCTAGATGCAGGTCACTGAACTTCCTGTGAGGTCATTTGGGTTGACCAATTTTGGTGTATACCCCCTTAAAATAGGTCTACCTGCCGTATTTACTCATATTCACCTAACTAATCGGACTTTATTTGAACGGACATTATATGGAAAATTTCTGATTTGCCTTCTAGCGTTCATATTTCAATGTCCGTGCAGAATTATGTCCGCGCATGCTTTTGGTCATGCTTAAAATAAAACGTAGTAGGCTATAAAATACTGTTGGTCAGTAGTCATAACATGTTTCAATGTATCAACCTTAAAATAGGTTTACCTGCCGTATATTTACTCATATTCACCTACCTAATCGAACTTTATTTGAACGGACATTATATGGAAAATTTCTGATTTGCCTTAAGCGTTCATATTTTAATGTCCAGTCAATTTACGTCCGCTAAGGTATTAAGTGCACACAGCACAATTATAACTACAAATTTCATTTATTTCTATGGCCGTATTTTACGGTAGTATGTTCGAGCACTTTGTGATAAATAGCAAGTTATGAGCCACGTAAAATGTTCGTCAATGCAATGCCGACAACTCCCAAAAAACAACCTCGCTTCATACAATCATCAGTACTGTTCAGAGGCCGCCTTGATGAGAACTTCTCCTTTTACACCTCCTTTCTTCTCCAGGAAACGAATGATCTCGTCTTGTTCGTACTTGTACCTGGGGGATGATTTTGTAGCACTTGAACACAAAATCTCCATCAAGCGAATAATTATAAAATAGCATGATTGAGGCAGTTATAGTAGCAAATGGAAGTAGTATTATGAACACTGCATCATATCGAACTATTCCACTGCAATCACGCCTCTTACCTCTTCAAATAGAAATTGTAGATTGTGCGATGTATATATTATAACGACTTAATGAGGAAGTTGCCGCTAAGATTAAAGGAATATTTAACTCACCCATCATCAAGAGGGGTAGAGTTCCACCTGTCAAGGGGGTTAACATTACACTTAGCCTTGTCAACCAGGAACCTCACTACCGCCATGTTACCACCACACACCGCCAAATGGAGTGCAGTCCTTCCGTCGTAGTCAGGCATGTTGAAATCTACTCCCGTCTGTGAAAGGTTGGGTTAGATCTGATTGAAGAATATAACACCTCTCAGCTGATTGGCTGACTCATGTCCGACAGCGAATCTTGTCCAAATCCAAAATTAGGGTCTTCGGAAAACAGTCGCTGTCGGAAAACAGTCGCTGTATAGTGGGACAACATTCGCTGTCGGAGACGTTTTGGTACCTTCTCAGCTTACTTCAAGAGCACGGTTAAATGTCAGACAACTCTAACAAATTCGAATAGCTGACGATCACAAACAAAACGTGTCAGATGAACGGTTTGGGTTACCTGAAGGTACTTTTGGAGAAGCACAGAGTCAGAAGCTGAAGCTGCAAACAGCATGTTGACGATCTGAGACTCTTTAGTCTCACTGGTCTGGTAGCGTCTTGGGTCTATCTTGTTGCTTGCTCCTCCACTAATGCAGTCGTACTGGGCAATAAAATATGTTACTATCTTATTACCGTACAGCTTTGATAAACTTCACGATGATTGTGATGAACATGCTAGGCATGATTTGTTAGACGTCGCTAAAGATAAGCTTTAACGTCATGATTTCTAATAAAAGAGCTGGAAGCTGATACCTGATGGAAGCTGAATCTTTGACAGAGCATCTTAGCGAACTGAATACCCCTGTAGCTGTTACCAAGGGAGTCTAGAGGAGGCGACCACACACAGATACCCATTAAATTGGGGACCACAATGAAAATAGAACCTGCAACACCTGAACAAGAGGAAGAATTGTTAAGATAAGATATGCTTAACATCTAGTACGGTCCCGCCTTCAACCTCCGTTTTGTTACGGATCTAGAAGATAAACAGGTTAAATCCAACAACAGGGGCACGAGAGTGCAACTATTTATTCTAATATAATTCAATTGTTGATTGAGCCTGATCATCGAGCAACAATTAGAAACAATTTATCAAAATAATTAATGAATTAAAATAAGTTAAACTAACCAGATTTTCCAGGGAGTCCCACTTCAAAGGCCCACTCTCCCGAGTAGTCGTACAGACCACAGGAGTACATGAGAGACAAAGTGTTCCGTACAGCGTCCGGAGTTATGCAGGAAGCTTGAGTTGTTGGACAAACTCCACCTGTGGTAACGAATAGGTACAATAATGCTTTCATAATGATAATAACCTGTTTTCGCTCTTTTGAATGGGAGACTGATTGGAGACTCTCAGTTTGTCCCAAAACATCAATAAAATAATGCTTTCAGTTATAACGTCTTTAGCTCTCAGTCGCGATATCTATTAAAGTATCTGCAACTGGCACGTCGAGCAGGGTTAAAGTGGTTAATCAAATTTACAGCGTGTTGGACTGACCGTTAGCTAGAGTAGCAGCAATGACAGCAGCGGACTCAGCTGTGGCCTCCACCGAGCATAGCTGGAAGTAAAGATCTAGTGTCTGCTTCAACTCAGTGCCTGCAAAACATGTTTAATGAACCTTGTTGCATCTTTATAAAGTTAAATATAATGAAAGTACTGAGCACAATCCAGTCAAGTTGCTGATGGAATTTCTCGAAATATGCAGGCCAACTAAATCTTTTGTGAAAACAAAAACTTTAAAATAAACTAGACCTGGTGGGAAGACACCGTGTTCCTTGAGGAAGTATCCGATAGCAAAGTTCTGATCAGCACAAGACTTCTCAGACAAAAAGGTAGCATTGCTGAACCCAACAAACTCATTTCCTGCCATTTTCTTGTACTCGCCTGTTTTCAGATGCAGATCATTAATCAATTTATTAATAAATTTACAGTTCGAGCTTTGAACAGCTATTTTGCAGGGAAATGAATCGGCAAAAAAATAAATTTTGCATTTATCTGTATTTTTTATTTGATTTTTGATTTGTAAGTCAAAATCACCAGCAGACCATTAAATGGCCAAATAAGTAGGCATTTTTATGTTTGACTGACCGATGGCGAAGTCAAATCTGTCGTCAAGACTCATTCCATTCTTAAGTACACTGCAGCAAGATATAGCCCCCGGGTTGATCATAGGGTTGTGAGGAAGACCGTTCTTATCGAGCTGAAGTTAAATGTTTTTTGAGCGTTGGTATGGATTTCCTGACTTGTTAGTTAATTACTACTATTTTTATAACCTGGATTTTGCCAATAAACAAAGAAAAATGAAACTTTGACCAGTTTATTTGCGAAGCGAGCAATCACCCAGAACCTAGGCTACTAACCGATATTTGGTTGAAACCAATACCACTGGGCTCCTTCCCCAGATGCTGATGGACCTTCTTAGGACCCAACTCAGCCACACATATAGCATAGTTCAGAGCTTTGCTGCATGACTGGATGCAGAAGGGGATATCAGTGTCTCCTATGTTAAACCTTTGACCGTCCACTGTACAGATAGAGATACCTGTGGAAATTAGTGAGTAATTTTACTGTTCATAAGGCAATATGAACAAGGTGACCAGGAATTATGGTAGAGTTTTGAGTTACATAATTAACCACTTCAAGCTGGACGCCCCCCTCCCCACTTCAGCACTTACCAAGAAAATCAGGGTTGACTCGAGCGAGCTGCGGAATGTACTGAGCGTTGAGGCCTCCTTTAATAGGCAGCAGTGTCTTGTAAATAGCTGCAATCTCCTTGCCTGTGGAGTGATGATTGTAATTGATTGTGATTGCCTGTAATTGATTGTAATTGATTGTAGTTTATTGTATTTGATTATAGTTTATTGTAATTTATATACATGTCTTTAGAACCTTTCACGCGGATCAAATATCACTTTCGAAACAAACATCACCAGTTAAATAAATAACATTTATAGACTGTGATCTATCGACGTGTTAAAACGGGGTTAAAACGAGGTTAAAACTTATAAGAGATTTTAGGAAACTCACAAAAGTCTGAGAACTCGGGGATAATGAGATTGGAACTGAGTGCTTTGTTGAGAATGTAGGCAACAGGAGAGGTGGCTTCAATAAAACTCTCCACATCCATATACTTCTTACAACCTGTCACGATGTAATTAATAAGTAAATAAGTAAATGGTACCACAATGTCTTACCTATAATGCCTCCACTAAAATCTAGGTTCCGTCGGATTGGTGAGAATTTGGTTTTGTATGTCAGGTTTAAAACACAATTAAATTGAATCTCTTAAAATGGGGTTGCTGAAAATATTCAACATATTAATTGTACCAATTTCACTGTTGATGGTTAGGACTCCAGACGGATCGTTAGACAAGTTGTTCATGAGGTCGGTGAGACGTGGATCCCTAAAGGGCTGCAGCCCTGTTCTCTTAAGATGACGGAGGAAGTCCCTGATACACACCTGTGGGTGAAGTGATTAGAGGTTTGTATGGTTAGCTTAGCAATTATAGAGAACTCACATAGGATACAATAATATGACAAAACTGCAAAAACCCCGCTCGCTCATCCAAATTTCTTTTTAGCTTTCTTTTTGTTCTAACCCTCCTTCCCTCTAAAACTTTCGACTAAACTTGACTCGGAGTCTGCTGAAGGGCAGTGGACAATCATAAAACAAATTCCATGAATAACTGCATTACTTTCTTACTTTATCTGTTTCCAATATAAGATATTGACTTCTGAAAAACCTCATTTGGTATATTACTAAATAAATAACCCTTACTTGATGTCTCATTTAATTTCTTGGAAACTCGGAAAAGTATAAAATAATTCTTTGATTTTTCATGGATTATTGAATCTGCAGCTATAAGTTCTAAATTCTACAAAAGAACTTGACGCGCCTCAGTCAGTAGAGCATGTAGCCGTAGCTGAATACCACGGATTGGCCCTTAACAAAATTAAATGTTCCGGTCTTAGTCATGTGAATTGCATGTATTCCTTTCATCTCCCTAAAATTAGAATCTCAATCTGTCAGGATGGATTGCTTAAACACGGACTGACCCGGTTTTTGACAAAATAAAGGAAGTTTTAATACATTTTAAAGACAAATTAATTGGGCTAGATCGACGGTATTCCACAAATTCCACAAAGTATATTACGTCGGATTATACTAGGAATCAACCCCGGGTATACATAGAGACAAGATTTCTGTTTGTTCAATAAGCGGAATGCATATTGTACAGCAGGCATCTACGATATTCAACAAAATAAAAAACGAGAATAGATCGAATACTTATATGATGGTTACCACCAATTGGATTCCCATCTGAATGAGATCTGAGTTGTGGAAGGTTGTGCAAGGAATATTGGAGAAGCCTCCCTTGGAAAATGTTCTTAACTCAGTGGTGGCTACTACACTGACCAACTCACCATAAACACCTGAAAACCCGCTTCCCCCAAATAATCACATTACTAACCTGACCATTCTGATCCATCTCGTCGATGTAGAGTCTGAGTAGGCTAGGAGAGAGCGTCTTCTTGTCGTCTGTGTTGGACATGGCGGCTAGTTGATCCAGTATACTGCTACCTTTACTGTTGGGCGTGCTGCTCCCTGGAGGGGGAGGCCGGGAGGGTATTAATTAGTTCAATTTGTAATGAGCTTTATGTTTTAGATGGAAACTCTACATAAGATATTATAAATCAGCCAGAAACATAACCTAGATTGTAAAGGATGAAAGGTTTTCATCTCAACTGCGCTTTTATGATAAGGGTAAGTGCAAATGTCTGGAGTGGTATCCCGATTTGCAGCGAAATCGTTTGAAAGCTTCCCGATGGCCAAATAAAATAGATAGCAAAACTATTTTGTAAAGCTAATCATCATTCCAAATAAGTCTCACCATTACAAATCAGTTGCACCATTCCAAACAAAAACGGCATCAATATTTTCGTTACTTGTAAGGTACAGTAAATAAAGTTATGAGATAAGTTATGAGATAACGTTTATGAAATAATCACAGCCAGCTGTCTTGCTTTCTTGGTAGATTATTGGCTAAAAGTGTGCTTATGTTACGTTAATAGTTCAACGCAATGTTTAACAGCTTGATGTAAAATTGATTTATTATTGACACCTTTGCAGCCAAAAATGTGCAGAAAGCAAAAACCCATCTTACTATCTTAGCAACTACCTTGAAAACTATAAACAACTCATCATGTTGTTCGTTATCACTTATTACCAAAAAGAACATAATATTGAAGAGAAAATTGAGATAATCTTATTAACAGATTTCCTAACCAATGTCAATTCTAAGTCTCAAAAAGTTCGAAAAATAGTTTCCGATGAAAATAGAGGAACTGAGCACTGCTTCAAGGTCAGCCTTCAAGACCTAATTAATTACTAATTAATTACTAATTGATTACTAATTAATTACTAATTAATTACTAATTAATTACTAATTAATTTTAGCCAGAGCACAACCTAACAGCGGGATTTCAAGTTTGTGCATTGCTTACAAGTTTTATCATGCTTCAAGAGTTCCAAGGTTTCTTTAATGATCTGAAATGATCTCTGCTTACTTACCGTATAATTTACCTGTAGGTAAATATGACCCATACTTATGATAGTCACAAATCAGGATTTACCTTTTAGATCTTTATTTGGCGTCGCTGAACTGCTAGCTAAAGAGTAAAATCGTATTTAGTCTTATGAGTATACAATCGCTTGTCAGGTTTTTAGTACTATACTTTTATACTTTAACTAAGTAGTAAGTACTTCATTTACTTTACTTAATGATTATCAATGTCTTCTGGACGTTGCACCATCACTTCAGAGCATGTTTATCCATAATCGCTTGTGTTATTTCATTTTTCAATCGAAAACAGTTTAAACAGTTTAAACTCAATGAAAAATTGATTATTGAGAAGTTAATGGAAATGATCATTGTTAAACTGCAAAATTAGTTTATTACAATATTATAAAGTTAACGCTCATGAATACTGCTAAATGCAAACAAACTGAGGTTGTCCTAAGAATTCTACGTTTAAAACTTGGAAGACTGCAGCAGTGGCCGTGTAACATATAATATTGTACGTGGTATGTAAACGGATCATAAAATAATTCGATCCTCAACTCAATCCATGTGGGCATGAAACTCACACTGCACGCCTGAATCTGAGTCAGGAAAAAGGCAATGAAACAGATTTAATACTTAATATGAAACATTATGGCCGGATAATCTTATCTAAACTCGATAAGATACATAAGCGTTTGATTATTTTGTCAAATATTTCATAAAATTGGCATTTTTCATTCTTGCGTAATTCTTCTTATATTTATATATTATTGGCAAGTGGTAGTAAACGCCAGACTCATGCAAGGTTGGCATCCTGCCACTTAGTCTTACCATTAAACGATAAACGTCAAATGATTTGTTGTGATTTTTCTTAAACGATTATGTTAAGATCTATCCATTATTAAATTAATTTGTACATTTTTAGAAAGAAATCCTTTTTAAAAAACTACTTTTTCGTGATGAAAGATGTGTATTTTTCCAAAAATGAAGATTCGCAAAATAGGAAACATATGACATGTTAGAAAACATTTGAATCGCTTATGACAAGCAAAATGGAATATATGACCACAAATTCTATTTCGGTACATTTCTGCCTTCGATTTTAAAATGTTTACCAATCACTTAATCAGTAAATGGCTTTGATTGTTATTAATTTATTCTTCTATTGCAAATATGAATTTTACGAAGGCTTCCGCTTTTAACAGCTGAAAAGTAGAACTGTGGATCAATGGAATAACCACAATTTGTAATTTAGGGCGGCTTTTCCAATTCCGATAGTAATTTTTATAGTTGACTTATTAAGTACACTAAATAAACTAGCTGTTAACTGAATGATAAATAAAAATACAGCGGTTTAAAACGCTACCTGATTTGGAAGATGGCTGGTTTACTTTTCCCAAGTCCGTGTTCTTGAGGTCACTCTTGATCTTATCGGCCATTGGTGAGGTTTCCCCTGACAAAATTCAAACATAAACACAAAAAAGTGTATATTGTTTAAAGCTATAGAAACCGACCGGTCTCAGGTTTTGGTTGCCAGACCGGATTTTGCCGGATATCAATCTATTTTTCGGTTAGCCGGATTTAACCGGAAGTGAACCGGATGTTAGGAAGAAAAATATTAAGTTGTCGTATCTCGCCGAAAATTTTAAATTAATCCCTTTTTTTGGGCTTTTAGTTTTAACAATACTAAAACTTTTTGTTTTAGTAAAATCCATTTGAAGTTACACAATAAGACAATGTTTATTGTTTACAGTCTAACTAACAGTTTTCATGCCCTATCAATTGTCATCCAAATAAAAGTCAAATTTTCGGAAACTTGACCAGAACCAGAACCGGATATAAAAGTCGGATATCCGGGTGGAACCGGATTTGTCCGGTCGGTTCCTATTTTAAGCAAACCAAAATATTGCTAGATCCGACCAAATTCCGAATAATAAATGACTAAAAATCACATAAAATTATAAAAACATATTCACAAAGCGATGCACATGTAGACAATTTGTATTTTTTTGTCCAAACAAGTCAAACTGTTCACAAAACAACTGTTCACAAACCTATACCAACGTGATAAAAAATGTTTTTGTTCCATTAGAACCCAGCCAAGTGGCATTAAGCATATTCTGTGAAAACAATAATTGGATTATGTTATTAACCATAACCGGGCAGAGCTAGTTACAAGTTTTTATAGGTAGGAGTATGAACTTTTGAACTAGAAAAGTGGAAATTTCTTGTTGATTATCGGACAATTATTTTCTGGCAGTTAATTAAAATAATGAATTCACCGGCATTTTGTGGAAAGAGTTATAGCGGCTTCCGGCCTCCTCTTAATGAAGTGGTATTTCTAAGTAGCTCTGAATATTCTCAAATTTCATGCAAACGACAACAACGAATAATTGTGTTTCATCAGGTTGTACCAATTAAAATACCAATCAAAACTTAATTATAAATTAACGAGCAAATACATGGCAGATGCACATGCAAATTATAATAACACACATCGGGTAATGCAATTTCACACCATACATAATTAATGACATTGACCAATAATAGCTTCCGACATTTCAGCAAACAAATTCACACCATACATAATTAATGACAGTGACTAATAATAGGTTCCGACATTTCAGCAAACAGATTCTGACAAGCAAATTGTTAACATTAACTCCGAAATCAAACAGCCTGACGTGAAAGCTGAGCATCATGATGCACATTACCATTGTTATGTTATGATATGTTTCGAGATCTTCATGAGGATCACATACACGCACGAAACCTCAAACATAAACAATAGTATACACTCACTAGCACATTCCAATTACTAAGTGGTGCACATTTAACGTGTAGTACTAGTACATGTACATTGTACAGCAGCCTGGTTCCCTTACGTTTCTTGGAGTATTCAAGGTTCCCATTACTACCAGCAGCTTGGGGTGTCACGTGCTCCACAGTCTCCACCATCACCGTAGGAACTAAAACAGTGGTCACGTGATATTCTCGGCGCGTGATATATTCGGTATTACAACTGATCTTGATTGTATTTATAAAAAGTAAACAGCCACAAAGCAAAATATGTAACGCACACAAAAAAGAAGACCGAGGAGAGACGAACTATGTGTTTCTTGTTGCGTCATGTCCTATTATATAGGATTATTCGTAATATCTAACATGAATATATGAAACCACGTTAAATATTTGTAGGTATATTCATGCGTTGAGTGTACTTATAATAGCGCCATAGCGGGCTGTGGCTGAATCAGTTTGTCCGGCCGAGATTGAAGAGGGATAAGTTATATAAGAGTTATGTAGGATTAAAAGAGTGTGGGCCAACAAAACATTGAATCATGCACCTGTATTATTATTTGACCTGTTATAGTTTACCAATACCAATCAATCTTGGATTACTTGAGTTATAACACAAATTGATCCCAATCATGGTATGCACACTTGCCGCCTTGCATGGCTAATTCCACGTTTCCAGACAACATGAATATTTGGGCTCCACCCATATTATTATAATTCTGTCTGAATGTCCCAAAAAGAGTCAGAAATTTGCCCGGAAGCTTTACCAGCTCATCCACTAAAGCGAGTCCATATAATGTGCGGTCCTGAGTTGGCAAGCATCGGTGCAGCTCAGCAAAGCGATAGGAATTCAACCCACTTTAAACTTATTAGCCCCGTGACAAACTGGGATTTGTTTATTCAGGATTTGACTAATGAACTCTCAATTTGTTACATTGTGTCCACTGATCCACCAAATGATCTTAAACTTGTGGTCCACAAACCGGCAAATTCCAGGTTTATGATATATGAATAGGTAATGAATAAACATATGTTAATAGTTTTGTGGCTAGAGAGTGATCTATTAATTGCGCATAACGAAGGTGCCTGGGTTTCAAAAAGATTCCAGGAAATAGTCGATAGTAAGCTGAACTTAAAACCAAAATAGAAGAAAACTTTGGTGGTCATTCAAGAAAATTACTGACCCTCTATCTGTAGCATAGTGTTCGTAAGCATCGGTGGCCTAGCGAACCAATCGGAATTCTTATCTTTTTAAATGTTCAATACGCCTGGCAAACTGTAATTTAGTTTAATTCGATTAATCTAGTCTTAATTTGTAAGACTGTGTCTAGTAACTCAGCGAACCTTCTAGCGGTACCAAATTCTGCCAAATAGGTTATGAATAAGCTATGAACAAACATATCTTGAGTTTGTTTCCTTTGTACTTTTTTATGGACTCTTCGCGTGAGTGATTTAGGAAACAATGGCGCATGATGAAGAAACTGTTTAACCATAAAAAGACCTGAGAATTGTCGATGGTAAGCAACTCTTTTAAAAAATGATCAAAATAAAAGGAAACTTGAGTGGCTTGCATAATATTTTTCCGCCGGTTGGTGATTTTTCGATTAAATTAATCTAAATTAATTGAATTAATAGTAACCGTAGTGCAAATATTATGTTTATACCGAGATTTACAAGCAGAATTAGCAAAACGGACCAAAAACAACAGCATAGTTTGAATGGTTCTCTCAACTTCTCAAGCGTGCCTTGTTTGAATGACTCGTCATACTGTTCGTAGTAGTCAATATCTCACTGTTAGACAGTAGACACGACAGCAATAATTAGGCACTTTGGACTAAGGATACCTCTTGGAAGTTTGGAGTACGAAACAGTACAGATGATGACTAAAATTCTGACCCTAACGAGAAATTAGACCAACTTCCTTATAAGGTCATGTCAAGTGATCAAGACAGTTTTTGCCGATAACTCCCCGGGTGAGCATTGTCATGTGAGGTTATTTGGACACAGCGCTCAAAAACATATTGATTCAAGGTTGATTTCAACGGTTGGGGGGCCTTTTAGTTCGATTGTAGAGATTGATTTAGCACGTTATGTAACAATACTGTATTTAAGGGGGGGGGGGGGGGGGGGGGGGACAATGGATATTTTTTTGTGAAACTTGATTTCGAGATAGCAGTTGACCAACAAACTAGGACCAGTGACCGAACTTTTGAGGGGGTCCCGGACCCCAACCGCCAAACGGTGCCCGCGGGGCAGCCACGCCCATATTTGGTCCAAATTAGGCCCAATTAAGCCAAATACCCTGAACATGCCCAAAACATAGATTTTAGGTGCTCTACTTGTAGCTAGTGGTCTCCTGAACTCGTATTTGAAATTTCATCAAGATTGGACAAAAAATGACTGAGTTATGAGCCAAAAACCATATGCCCATATTTGGGCATACGCACCAAATTTGGTAGATTTCGTCCCATAAATTGGTCAAATATCAATATTATTGAATGAAACTTACTTTATATGAAAGGTAAGCCTAAACTACATATTCTCTATAAGTTATAGCTTTATATCTGTTTAAATGTGGATACTAAGGCGAAAAAACCACAAAAAATGAACTAAATTGCCCGTATCTTGGTTCGCGATACTTGCGGAATTGATCTCATTAAAATTGTAACAACTCAATCAGTTTTCAAAATTTTTCCATGAAATTTTCGGAATCGACTCGAAATTGCATTTCCACCTTATTTTGAGAACAGATTTTTGATTTAGGCCTCCAAAAAAATTTGGCGGCCAAATTCTGAATTTTTCCGGGAGAATTTTGGAATTTGGCCGCCAAATTTTTTTGGAGGCCTAAATCAAAAATCTGTTCTCAAAATAAGGTGGAAATGCGATTTCGAGTCGATTCCGAAAATTTCATGGAAAAATTTTGAAAACTGATTGAGTTGTTACAATTTTAATGAGATCAATTCCGCAAGTATCGCGAACCAAGATACGGGCAATTTAGTTCATTTTTTGTGTTTTTTTCGCCTTAGTATCCACATTTAAACAGATATAAAGCTATAACTTATAGAGAATATGTAGTTTAGGCTTACCTTTCATATAAAGTAAGTTTCATTCAATAATATTGATATTTGACCAATTTATGGGACGAAATCTACCAAATTTGGTGCGTATGCCCAAATATGGGCATATGGTTTTTGGCTCATAACTCAGTCATTTTTTGTCCAATCTTGATGATATTTCATATACGAGTTCAGGAGACCACTAGCTACAAGTAGAGCACCTAAAATCTATGTTTTGGGCATGTTCAGGGTATTTGGCTTAATTGGGCCTAATTTGGACCAAATATGGGCGTGGCTGCCCCGCGGGCACCGTTTGGCGGTTGGGGTCCGGGACCCCCTCAAAAGTTCGGTCACTGGTCCTAGTTTGTTGGTCAACTGCTATCTCGAAATCAAGTTTCACAAAAAAATATCCATTGTCCCCCCCCCCCCCCCCCCCCCCCCTTAAAATGCGGACATGAGACACAGTTATACCGTATGTAACTCTTTGGGGTGAAACTAACAATAAGTCTAAAACTACTGTCAGTTAAAACAGCCATCCAGAAAATATTTCCATTCTCCTCACTGTAACAAAATGCAAAGAAATATGTATTACTTACGGGCTTTTTTGGAAGGATTAACTGGATCCGGGCTAGTGTCCCATTTCATGATTTTACTTTCGTAGTCAGTATCATCAGCTGTACCACTGAGTTTAATGCCGTTGGTGCTCCGCTTTTCTTTTGGTTTGGTTGAAGGTGTGTTTACTACAATCGAGGGGGTGTTTACTACAATCGAGGGTTTGTTTACTGTAATCTCTGAAAAATACAATGGATTGAAACCAAAACATAAAGTTAGGATTCGTGATAAATAATATTTAGAATTTGTTTCAACAGATACAAAATCACGATCAGTGAAACTGTGTTTGGCCAATACTTGCAAAACTAGTTGTTTACCGATAGTTGAAATTCGACATCTAGCACTAGATGACGCTAGATAGCGTCATCTTATATCGGCATTGCTAGATGCCGTATTTCAACTATCGGTAAAGGTCCGCAAAACTTTACCTGGTTTCACCGGTTTTTCAGGGGACTTTCCTTTATCCTTTTTCGCTACTGCGTCCTTACTCTTGCTCTTCTTGACCCCCTCCTTTTGCAGGGTCTCTTTACTAGGGCTCTTCTTCACTTCTTCCAGTTTCACATCTCCTTTCTTTGTGTCTGTCATGGCTATCAGGGATGATGAAGATTATTCATTGGGAATTTTAGTGTAAATCAAGGCGGTTTTTATTGTCAATCACCGTCCACTTTTATGAATAGCGACCTGAATATCGTTCCCTCCTTGTATAAAGTTCTCTGTCAGAGTTAGTGAGTGTAGAGTAGAGGGTAAGAGGGCGATTCAACTTACAAACTACAGCGATAAACGGATTAATAGCAAATGGAAGTTCAGTCTGGACGATCACTCTCTGCAACTACAGCAAGATGTGTACGTCATTTGGATAGGTGGCACCGAACAAAAAGTACGATTAAACAAAAAGATCCACGTATGAATGTCTCCGGCCAGCTCCTTTGTGTAAAATTAAATTATGGGGGAATGTGGGAGTTAGAGTGTGCAAAAACTGGAATCATGCCACACGTCTATATTACATATCTATTACATATCTTTATCTTATAAGGTACTTCCAGGATTTGGTTTTGGATCAGACACTCAAAACAACGATAGAGGAGCGGTCTACACGCTCACAGGCTACCATGTCTCGCGTAACTCCAGGATTTAACACGCTCACACTTCACAGGTTACCACGTCTCGTGTAACCCTAGGACTCTAACACTTAACAGACTCTAACACGCTCACAGGCTTCCACGTCTCGTGTACCCTAGGATTTGGTTTTGGATCGGACACTCAAAGTCAAAACAACGATAGAGGAGCGGTCTACACGCTCACAGGCTACCATGTCTCGTGTAACCCCAGAATTTAACACGCTCACAGGCTACCACGTCTCGCGTAATCCCGGATGATGATTAATCACTCTACACTCGACTGTCACGTGACTTTTTCAACCCGTTCTCTAGCTGGTCCTGAACGACTATTCGAAATCCTAACCCTCTAATCTGATCCCAACCCTAACCCTAACCCAATCCTTAGCAAAAGCATGTGCTGAAACCCTAACCCTAACGAGAAATTAGACTAACTTCCTTATACGGTCATATCACGTGATCGAGACAGTTTTTCGCCAATATCTCGTCAGGGGAGCATTTTACCCCTATGTCATGGGGGGTGATTCGGAATCAGCGTCCGAAAATACATCGATTGAAGTTAATTACAACTGTTGGGGGTCCTTTTAGAACAATCTCGAAGATCGACTGTAGAGTGATTTAGCACGCTCGCGTAATCCCAGGATTTGACACACTCACAGGCTACCACGTCTCGTGTAACCATAGGACTCTAACACTTAACAGACTCTAACACGCTCACGCCTCACAGGCTTCCACGTCTCGTGTACCCTAGGATTTGGTTTTGGATCGGACACTCAAAACAACGATAGAGGAGCGGTCTACACGATCACAGGCTACCATGTCTCGTGTAACCCCAGGATTTGACACGTTCACAGGCTACCACGTCTCGTGTAACCCCAGGATTTGGTTATGGATCGGACACTCAAAACAACGTTAGAGGAGCGGTCTACATGCTCACAGGCTACCATGTCTCGTGTAACTCCAGGATTTGGTTATGGGTTGGCCACTCAAAAAAACGAAAGAGGAGCGGTCTACAGTGACGTTACAGGAACATTGCATACTCCTACGAGTTGCACGTAGCAGGCCATGACCTCCCCTGGAAGTCACTGTCTCTCTGTCGTTAACCCGGCGGGGTTGCACCAGGGGCGGTGGTAACAGACTCTCGGAGTCTGTTGTCGATATTTATGTTTAATATTTTTATGGTATATAATTTGGGAGTCTCTCTCTCCAGCAGCAGGAGTTGGAGAATGGGGACGCGTTGCGAAAGCCACCGTAAGGAAGGCTTACTGTCGACGCCGACCAATCAAAAGAAGTAGGTACTAACTAGTAACTACTCATAAATAGGATGTAGCTACACTGAATACTCGTAGTATAGATATTAGATTGGTAGTTTATAGGTAATAAATAGGTTATAGTTCTACATAATATATAGACTAAAGATATGTAATAGATTGGGACGGGTTGTACAAACAAACAAACAACAAACATATTATATATATAAGATACATATACATATATTATATAAGATACATAGTTTGTTACAACAACATTGTAATAAATCCAGAAACCAATCACTACTAATCACTTTTGCTTTTGGCAATATAACCCTAAATATTTCTTAGACTATAATTGTTATGCATTCATTAGATAATTATAAACATGTAATAATAACGCCCTCAGAAAACCCCTTCCCTCACCGCTGTCCTCTGGACTCGTTGTACCTGCTGGTGTAACCTTTAATTAAGGGGGCAAACCCCAAATCTGTCCAGACCTAATGACCTCATAGGCAGTTCAGTGACCTTCTAGCGCACCGTTTCCACACCAAAAAAAAATTATTTTGAGAATACCTATTTTTGTAATCGAGCATTTCCTGGTTAAGAGTGCAATTTTCGGAAAAAATTATTTTGTGGTTGAGACGCTATAACTATAAGTTAATCATTTCTTGCGGTATCCGGGTATCGGGTTGAAATTTTGCTCGCCGTTTATTCACATCTATGTCAAGGTGTGTGTAAAATCTTGATATCGTATCTATAAAGGCTGGTGTGTTATGAATTTTTAAAGTCAAAAAGCTAAAATTGTCCTTTTCAGGCTTATTTTAACAAAAAGTCAGTCAGGGAAGATCGGATTATTTGATGCTTGACATCAAATTGTTCTCTGAATTCTGGCGCAGTTTTTGATGCCCTCAAAAACGTTTTTACTCATTCACCTTCTGATCTATTGGACCTCAAAGCCAAACAACAAATTTAGGCACATTTTTCGTTTTTAATATTTACTGATTTTTATAAATTTTGATAGGAATTTGTGCTAGTGACTTTTTGAAGGGTGCAAAACAACCGCAACTAGCACATTTATATATATATATAAGTTATAAACAACTTATAATGTTATATATAAGTTATGAACAACAAAACATCCTAAAATGCTTCTCTTTCAAGTTATGGGAGAAAATGTGATTTTTTATCTGCAATAAGCCAAAAAATCAGGGTCATTAGGTCTGGACGGCACAAACCACTGTTTTGGGGTATGCCCCCTTAAAGAGTTAATAAGCGCTGCCATACGACGGTCAGGTTGTCTGACAGACTTAATCAGGACGTTTACCTACTGATACAGGTTTAGTGTAGAAAATACGTTGACAACATTATTTAGCTATTTCGAAACTTCCCCTCGATTACAACGTAAAATATTATCACTTCCTAATGGACGTATCCCCGTATTTTCATCCCTAAGGTTTTTCTTGACAAATGATTTTCAGAATAAAAGAAATTGAAATAAGAGCAGTTTATCCTAACTACTAAAGCCTGATAGTTATTACAAAAACTTAACTTAAAAAACTTAAACTGTGCGGCCAGGTAGCGTAGTTGGTTGATCATCGGATTTGTAATCGTAAGATTGCGAGTTCGAATCCCACTGCCTGCCTAGTCGTGGGGTGAGCGTCGTTGACGCTCTGCTAAGGATCCCGAGTGGTCTATGTAGCCCCACGGTTCACTCAGCCGAATGCTCGAGAAATCGGGTGTGAGGGTTAAATGAGGAGCTGTGCTTTATCAACACAGCGAAGCCTCGGGCGAAGAAAGTGTGGCATAGTGCCTTAACCGTTGCTGGCCTTAGGGCCTTCTTGTAAAGCTCTTCCTTGAAAGTGCTGGTTTACATTGTAATGCAGGTAATGCCGAAGTAAAATAACAAAGGTGGTCGACTCATTTGATGGCCTTGTTGCGTCGCAACGAATCCTCATAAGATAAGATAAGATACGCTAAAGAAATGCCAAAGAACTTTTCAACGCCAAACAAATCATCTGAATACAATAACTAAAAGTTGTTAAATTGAACGGTCTTATTGAAATCCAGTCCCCATACTTGGCAAATATCCCAATTCAATTAACAGAATGACGGTATAACGGACAATTTGAATGCTTCATGTTATCTGTTATGGACATGTTAAATAGACATCTTATGTGTTTTGGGCAATTCATTTGTTTTGGGCAAATGCAAAATCAAAAATGATATCGAGAATGGAATCGGTCGCTCGCTTTTCCCATTCATTCACGGCTTACGAATTGTAATAAGTTTCGATTCATTACATCAATCACATACTGTAAAAATCTCTTTAGGTTACTTTCGGGTCGTTACCTAGTATTGTGAGATAAATGTGGTAGTTATAGAGGGGCTTGCAAGCACTGTGATAATCATGGAACTATGGCAAACTATGAAAAACAGTTAACGAATGACGCAAATAAAAAGTGTATTACAGCGTACTGCGTAGTGTAAAATGGGATATGAAAGTATTTTTAAATACTTTCATGGTTTAATAACTTAATAACCATGTGTCTCCACTTTTGAATTCATCGTGAAATTAACTCCGTATGTATTGAATTTTATAAAGGGCTCAATATACCCACCTCATGGCTCATCTATATGGTAGGAAATAGGAATAAAATAAAGGTAGGGCTGTTAACTCAATCCATGTTGAATTATGGAAAGTTCTGGAAAATGTTCACGTCATGAATATGACATATTTTTCTTATTTAGCTTTTCTTAGCGAGATACATAGAGGCTGCAGAATAATGAGTTGTACAATTAGATCCCGGTGGAACCTACTTGATCCATGATATGACAAGAGGTCCTATATTGGGGCTGAGAGATGCTAAGTTTCTGGTGGTTAGAAGGTACAGAGGATATTCTGATATTGGGTTATTAATCCTGATGTTAGGGGATATATCTGATACAGGATCATATCTGGTACAAGATTATATCTGTTTAAACTAATTATAACACTACAAATTTATAACATTTACTGAAAATATGAGTATGACGTAGAAATGTCGAAACGTTATTCAGCTATTTATTTCTATTAGAATCTGTCTTCACTGAGTCTATTCAGAAACAATCAGAAATTTGAATGAAAGAACTATCAAATCATGAGACTCAATAACACTACACGAATCCACCAGGTGAAATAATTGTAATAACTATTAGCAGGTTTAATGTTTAGACGTTAGGAG